GATATCAAAAAAGTACTCCAGAGTGTTGTTCAGCATGGGGGTGAGTAGAAAATGAAGGCTAATCATGTTTTGGGTGTACTATTCCTTTAACTTTGGGTGCACCGATTGATCGGCCCGCCAAATTTATCAGCCTTGATTTCCTTAATCCTGGGAGATCAGCCGATGCTTAGATGTAAAGTCGATCTTTTCCACAGATCTTATCTGCTTCTGCAAAGGTCTGAAAATCAATACTTTGGTTGCATCTGGAGGGAAAGAATCAGAGAGCTTTGGAGGGATTCTATTAGTTATTCTATTAGCTGAATAAATTTATGGAAAAATGTGAGAGCATCTGGAGGGAACCAATCGGAGAGCTTTAACTGCAGAAGTTTTTATGGTTTCACGGTTCTGATTAATGCATTTCAGTAAGAAAAGATTGAAATATTTAAGGGGTTTTGGTGATTTTATAACAACTGAAAGTGTCAGTTGTTTGAAAAAAACGTATCTGTCGGAATCAGCATGTCAGGCTTTCTAAACTTCAGGGATGAGAAAGATTGACCGGGAACCTGCAATCGATGCTTCCCTCTAGTGTTAACTATTAAAAACTGTTCCCTTTAACCTTTTCTCATTTTGTCCCCTTTTAACCATTCATTTATTAATGTATTTTATCCATTTATAAAGTTTTTTTGTTTATGAAGATTAATATTTTGGAAAATTTGGATTTTTTTTTCCCTCCCACCATTCCACTCCTTGGGTTTTAATAGCTCAGCAAAACATCAGTTCATCACTTTTTGTTCTTAGATTTGAATTATACCGATAAACTAGCTCTCTTCGTAAAACCTCGAGCTGAAAACATTTAGTCTGTTATATATTTATATTTTTATTGTTAATATTATATTAATGATTGTTTTTCAAGTATTTTCACAGCTTGAATTTTGTTGACCTTTAAATTAAAGGTCGCCTCCCAGAGGGAAAGGTTAAAACATATCCTGCTTTTTTTAAGCTGTATTTTAATTTGTATTTTTTTATATTTTAAAAATTAAATGAGAAAATAAAAATAATCCGAACGGTAGAAAAATAATTGAAGATTTGATATTTAAGCTGAATCGCTCAGCCTAGTTATATAAAAAACTTTCTTTCCCCCTCAACATTTATACACCACCTTTTTCTTTTTGTCCAATAAAAAAGAAACAACTCAATAAAAACTTTCCTGCTTTTATTGAGGCTCATGAAAAAGGTTTAAGAGGAAGGGATTCTTTAGCGAAGCTTGTTTTTTGTTAGTTAAAGCTTCTGGTTGTGATGATTTTTGTTTTGTTGTTGTTTTTTTAGACAAACTTGATTGCATCTGGAGGGAACGAATCAGAAATCTACATCTGGGACATGAATAATTTTGGATCTCCAATGACACCAGGACCTAAAGCACAGGTACATTTACAACATCTTAACTTATTGGTGCTCAATAATAAAGAGAACAGCTGTAAAGCTCTAGGTTCAACCTGGAACTTAAAGACTTCTCTTTTTTTTTAAGGAGTCGATATATCTTTAAATATCAGATTGATTGGAATAAATAGATGATAAATTACTAATATTTTTTTTGTTATTTTGCTTAAAGCCTCAGGAGGACATCAGCTGCGTGTCGTGGAACAAACAAGTCCAGCACATCCTGGCCTCGGCCAGTCCTAGTGGCAGAACCTCAGTGTGGGACCTCCGAAAGAACGACCTCATCATCAAAGTCAGCGACCACAGCAACAGAGTAGGTCCTCCATTGAGCGCACATGGAACACGGTGAAGCGGCTGCATTTTCTTACTCTTCTGCTGTGGTGTCGTGCTTCTGCCTGCAGATGCATTGCTCTGGACTGGCCTGGAACCCTGAAGTGGCCACTCAGCTGGTCTTGGCCTCAGAGGACGACCGGATGCCGGTCATCCAGATGTGGGATTTGCGTTTTGCTACCTCTCCTCTCAAGATTTTAGAGCATCACACACGGTAGGATTTTCTGCTAAATGTTTTCTTCGGCAGCTTGTATTGATTCCTGTAGAGACCATCCGCCTCAGAGAGATACATGCCATCGGTTTAAATTTGGCTAACTTCCTCCATCAAACCAAACAAATCATTTATTTTTTCTTTATTTGCTTCAAAGCCCCCCAGTGTGTAAGATTTAGTCCCATCTAGCCATGCACTAGATTAATTAAAAGCGACCGGGAAGCTTCTTCTGGTTCATTAAGTGTGTAACAGCTACTGCAGAAGCTGAGGAATGTCATAAATATGTCAACATCATGCATGAGTTCCTGTCAGGTGATGAGGTACAAAAACACAAAACTAAAGGCTGCACCATGTCCTTCCCTCTGCTTGAGCTTCTATGGCTTCTGTATTTACTCCGTTTTTTTTCACCAAAACAAACGACAACCCAGAAATACATAAAGGTTTATTTTAAGCAGAGAATTCTTCTACATTTCTTTTTATCTGTTTAATAAAACAGATGAATGAACGGCTAAATAAATCCCCCATGTCCGTCTCCACCTGTTCATTTTCATCTGTTTCATTTTCACCCACAAAAGAGCATTTTTGAAGGTTATCCTTCAACTGAATGTTATTTATTGATGCATTTGTTATTAATGCAATCTGACCAAAAGAGGAAACTGCTGTGATATTTTGTTTTTTGTGATGATGACTGAAAGGAAAGGTGGAACTATTTCTGTTAAATTCTGCCATAGAAATTCAGATGGTTACACTTAAGAAATGAAAACATTATTTTTAATTATTATTATTGAACATTGTAAAAAGCAGCAGGATTTTGACAAAATAATTTCTTTATTTACTATTGAACATTTAGCCACAGTTATGCCAGAACCTTCATAGCTACCAGAACAATGTGGCTCCCTGCATACGTGTTATTTGGTGAAAGTAGGGAATTACAAACACCCTAATCTTTCAAAGGGATATTAAAGCACACGTCTGCCCCTCTTGATCTGACAGGGGAGTCCTGGCCATCGCTTGGAGTCTGGCTGATCCTGAGCTGCTTCTTAGCTGCGGGAAGGACAGCCGGATTCTGTGCTGGAATCCAAACACAGGAGAGGTAACAGTTTTACACACCACTGAGTGAATATGTGTCAGTCTCAGTTTTCTGAGGATTGTTAACCTCACTAACGGAGGCTGCTCTAAAAGCTCTCAATAATAAAATGCTTGATTGATGCTGGAAGATGATTGATGGTTTCTGCAGGTTCTGTATGAGCTGCCCACCAGCAGCCAGTGGTGCTTCGACATCCAGTGGTGCCCCAGGAACCCTGCGGTGCTGTCGGCTGCAGGCTTCGACGGACACATCGACATCTACTCCATCATGGGAGGCAGCAGCCAGGCGCAGAGCCAGAGACATGCAGA